TTACTAACAGCAAACATTTTTAGTAAAAAATTCAGATAGATAGATAGATAGATAGATAGATAGATAGATAGATAGATAGATAGATAGATAGATAGATATAAAATTTGTGAGTAAAATTCAAACCAAAATTCAAATTTTCAGGATTTAAAAGTCTGACATTGGATATATAGATTTCCAATTCTGAAATGTTAAACTTGGAGAAAATGTTCAAGCTGGAGAACATTTTTGGTGTTTTGAATGGATTTCAGCCCGTGATGGATATGGCTGTTCTGGCTTTATTTTAGCCCCCCAATTGGAATGTTGGGGAAATCACATTTAAGCAAAATTGCATAAGCTGCCAAAACTGAATCCATTGTGGTCAGAATGGGTTATAATTTGAAAAGCCAATAAAATCTGGTTCAAAATGTTTCTTGGTTCTGCAATTATGCATGAATATGCATTTATTTCTGAAAGTTGCAGAACAGAAGATGAGCCTGCATTTAAGATAATTCCCACCAAAAAAAAAAGAGTAGAAGAAAAAAGTATAAATTCAGACAAAAATCCTCTGTGATACACAGCTTCCCTGTCATGTTAAACAGTAAATATATAAAGAATCCCATTTATAAAAGTAATTGATCCTCCATCTTGTACCCTACTATTATATCTTATATATACAGTAATCCATTTTCATACACTACACACACAAATACAAGCATTCATGTTCCCCTTCTTCCTTTCAACAAAGCAGCAAAAAAAGAAAAAAAGAAAAGAAAAAAAAAGGATGGAGGTAGAGTGAGGGGAGAGGTTGTTGCACTGAAGGGAAGGGAAAAGAGAGAACAAAACTGGATGGAGATGAGGCAAGAGGAAGAGGTAACTGAACAGGGAAAGCCCCATTTAAGCATTGCAACAAAGGGTTAAAATTCACCAGGCAAGCAGTGCTTCCCAAATCATTGATGTCTACTGATTTGCAAAGGGGCTCATCTTCAAAATCATGTCTGCTGCCTTTTTTACCTCCACTTATTTGCTCATTTTTAACAATTTTGTCTACAGTGTAAGATAATATCCATACACAAATACTTTGAGGGAAAAAATCTTCCTATTGGGTAAATACAAAAATGCATATATTTGGGGGAGCTTTCAGTAAGATGTGTATGATAGGGAAAATGCATTAAAAATGTGGGATTTGTCCCTCTT